AGGCAGAGAGGAAAAGTGGGAGAGAGAGAGATATCAATCGACTGCCTCCTGCACACCCCCTGCAGGGGATTGAGCCTTAAACCCAGGCATGTGCCCTGACCAGGAATCCAACTAGTGACCTCTTGGTGCACAGGACGATGCTCAACCAACTGAGCCACACCGGCCAGGCTAGGTCTCCTTTATTTTCTTTCAATAATGCTTTGTAGTTTTCAGAGTATACATTTTACCCTTATTTGCTAAATTTTTAAAAATATATGTTTTTATTGATTTTTTTTAAAAAAATATTGATTTTTAGAGAGAGGAAAGGAGAGGGAGAGAGAGATAGAAACATCAATGATGAGCCTGGCCAATGTGGCTCAGTGGTTGAGTGTCAACCTATGAACCAGGAGGTCACGGTTGGATTCCCAGTCAGGGCACATGCCCAGTGTGAAGTGTGCAGGAGGTAGCCGATCAATGATTCTCTCTTATCATTGATGTGTCTATCTCTCTCTCCCTCTCCCTTTCTCTCTGAAATCAATAAAAATATATTTTTAAAAATAAATAAACCTTTGTCACAGACAATAGTATGGTGAAGGCCTGGGGAGGGGGCAGGAGCAAGGTGGAGAGGGTCAATGGGGGGAAAGGGGACATCTGTAATACTTTCAACAATAAAGATAATTTTTTTAAAATAATAAAAAATAAACCTTTGTGCATTATGCGTTTTCTACATATGAGTGTTTAGGATAGATTCTCAAAACTGAAATTTGTAGGGATGAGCATTTTTTTTAGGTTGTTGATGTTGTTTTAGGTTTTCTACAATGTTTTTGAAAGGTTTTTTGTTTGCTATACCAGTTTATATGCACCAGTTGCCTGTCACACACCCTCTTGGCACTTGGGGACAATCATTTTGAAATCTTTGCTAAGTGAGTAAAAACATACTTAATCTTGATTATTTTAAAAATTAACTTTAACAGCATTATTGAGATACTAGAGGCCCAATGCACGAAATTCATGCAAGGGGCTCGGCCCTCGCAGCCGCCACAGCTTGCCTCGGCCTTCGCAGCCCCAGCTTCACTCAGAAGATCATCCAGAAGGTCTGCTGGCTGTCTGGTCTAATTAGTATACTATGCTTTTATTATTATAGATACTTCACCTACAATACAACTGGTTTTCAGTATAATTCAAGATATGTATGACCATCACCAGTCAAAATTAGAACACCTTTATCACCTAAAAAAAAAATCCTATAACCTTTACCTACCACCCCTTCCTTACCATCCCCCCACAGCCCTAAGAAACCACCAGTCTACTTTCTGTCTATAGATTTTCCTATTCTGGGCATTTCCTATAAATGGAATCATAATGTGTGGTCTTTTGTGACTGGCATCTTTCACTTAGCATAATATTTTCAAGATTCATCCATGTTGGAAATCACCTTATTCGTTCTTATGGTTGAATTTTATTGCACTGAGTGGATATACAACATTTTGTTTATCCATTCAGCAGTTGGCAGACACTTGGGTTGTTTCCATTTATTGGCTGTAATGAACAAGCTGCTATAAA